CTGCCTCGAGGGTGCTTGACCATTTTAACACAACGTGGTGCGATCAACCCTCTTGCGTGAAGTGAGGGATCTCCACCCCGCACAACATGATCTACTCGGCCACCGTCATGGTTACCGCAATAAAAAACAGGTAAAAGAATACAAACGGGAACCTGGTTGCCGAGTTCACGAAGTGAATTGGCTGGTTTTACAACCTCGTTGCCAAGCGACGAAAACCCAACCCCGATGGCAAACACCGGAGGAGGGGGGAGCGGCTTGTTTTACAACGTCGTTGTCAAGCGACGAAAACCTATTCCCGATGGTAAACACCGGGGGGGAGGGGGGGCGTACTCTTATGTTTTGCATGCCTTAGCGGTTAGGCCATTGACCACCGGGTCGGGATGCGGCTTGTCTTACAACGCCGTTGCCAAGCGACGAAAACCTATTCCCGATGGTAAACACCGGGGGGGAGGGGGGGCGTACTCTTATGTTTTGCATGCCTTAGCGGTTAGGCCATTGACCACCGGGTCGGGATGCGGCTTGTCTTACAACGCCGTTGCCAAGCGACGAAAACCCAACCCCGATGGCAAACACCGGGAGGGAAGACGACGAAGGGGATGCCTAAATCAAACATCATGTTTTCGGAAAGCTGTCGACAAACGGCTCCCACAAAGCCATTTTGATAATCGGTACACGGAGTTTTCTTGTGTATCCTACGGTAGCCTGCGGCGAGAGTCGGTGAATGCGTCTGCAATAGCTTCCCCTGTGTACTGAGAGGCCATCCAGAAAAATGCCGTCTCGGCGTAGAGAGTAGTTTACGTGTAGCGAATCCACAGAAGAACGCAGAGGCGGCAGAGCGTTCGGTGTGTGATTCGATGAGCGGTAGCGATGTGCTCGATTTAGATACGAAGGCCGTAGGTATTCATGGCTGTGATGGCGCCGCTGACTCCGCCGCTGGCCGTTGATGATGCTGCTGCTGTTGGCCCTCGATGTAGTGGTGGCGACCTAAATCATGCAACCCAGGTGTACCTGAACTATTCAGTCACCAAGGTCGGAAACGGCAACTTTGTTTCCTCGCGCAGCGCTGACCGCGCCAAGTTCGTCCTTGCGACAGCCGCGTTGCGTTAAATGTGTCCAGATGAAAGCTATTCCGCGGTCTCTGAAAGGATCACCCATGATGATTACATGTTGCCACTTGAGTGTTGGCCCGGGAGGGAAGATTGTGACATTTTCGATGCGTACTACCAATGAAGCAGTCGAAAGAGCGTGTTTTCTCTTCCGAGTAGACAAAGATAGTGATGTTCGTCTCTTGTCCCCCCTTGTTTGTCTTGAGTACCCTGCCACAGGCACTTTCTGTCTATCGCACCGAAGCTACGCGGCTCACTCATGCGCGGCATCTGGAAACAAGGACTTTCGAGCCCTGGTGTGTCCCCTTTGCAAGAACACAGTTCGCTTCAACGGGGGCCAGGACCCCAATCAGCAGTGAGTACAATACGCATCGTCACACGCAGTCCCTCGCCCCCCCAGTCCCTCCGCACCACTCGGGGTTAATGTAGACCTGAGGGCCACAAAAGTGCTTATAACTGCCATGTTGTGGAATTGCGGTTGTGCTTAGTAGATGGAACCACCAGATGGTTGTTTGTCAAGCGTTTTTTTTTCCTTTCAAACATGGAGCGACGAGAGCAATTCGTGCTCTGTTTTTGTCGCGTGTGTGTGTGTAAGACAAGGCAACGAAAGTGACTCGCACCGCTGCAGCGTAGACCGCGTTCGTCGGTCCCAGAGCTGCTGCTTTGGCCGATCTCGTCTTTGACTTGCTACGTGACGGCAAGCATTGCTTTCATAAGTGAAGGCCAAGCAAAGGATGATCGCTCTGTACTTTACATGCATGGAGTGAATCATATTCCAGCCCGTGTTGCCAGTTGGTTCTGCAGTGAGCGAACGACTCTGAAAATGGTGCCGACGCTGACGGGCGGAACTCTGCTTCGGTACTGCGGAACCCGCTGTTCACGCGCTACTGCTGTAGTTGCTTATCGGGGGCTGCTATTTGTGAGTTGTGGCGTTTTTGGCGCTCGCTGGATTTTTGCTTTCCTTTCGTGCTTGCTCTGTGCCCCCTGTGCGTGTTCTCTATTCTTTTTGGTTGTATTTCTTTTGGCGTTTTCACATCTGCTGGTCTGCGGATTTGCTTTTCGGTGCTTGTTGATGTTTCATCGTCTGCCCTTTGTTGTGCATTTGTGTTTTTCTGGATCCGAGCAGGTGGGATTTGCACACGAGAACAGACTGCAACCCCGAGGACTACAAGAGGAACAAGCCGACGAAGAAGAGGTGCGGCGGGAGGGGGGTGTGTATTCATAGTCGTGCATGCCGTAGTCGTTAGACCACTGACCTCGCATCCCTACAAAGCTGGGACGGAGCACGCCGGGTTCTCACCGGACCGGGCTCTCACATCACCAAGCGCGAAGCGCCATGAGATATTCGGCGAGTCGCATGAAGGGTGCGCTGCATCCTGCTAACGGTGTTCGGCATCTTGTGCTTACTTCCTTGCGTACGGATGACAGCTGCGTGTGACTTATTTTATTTTCTGGTGCTTTTACTTCCAGAGACAGTTGTAAGCACTGTGTAACTGCCTTGAGGGTGCTTGACCATTTTAACACAACGTGGTGCGATCATCCCCCTTGCGCGGAGTGAGGGATCTCCACCCCGCACAACATGATCTACTCGACCACCATCATGGTTACCGCCAAAAGAAAAAATCAGAGGTAAAAAAAAGAACCCGGTAACCTGGTTGCCGAGTTCACGAAGTGAGTTGGCTTGTTTTACAACGTCGTTGCCAAGCGACGAAAACCCAATCCCGATGGCAAACACCGAGGGGGGGGCTTTTTTGACAACGTCATTGTCAAGCGAAGAAAACCCAATCCCGATGGCAAGCACCGGGGGGGGGGCGGCTTGTTTTACAACGTCGTTGCCAAGCGACGAAAACCCAATCCCGATGGCAAACACCGAGGGGGGGGCTTTTTTGACAACGTCATTGTCAAGCGAAGAAAACCCAATCCCGATGGCAAGCACCGGGGGGGGGGCGGCTTGTTTTACAACGTCGTTGCCAAGCGACGAAAACCCAATCCCGATGGCAAACACCGAGGGGGGGGCTTTTTTGACAACGTCATTGTCAAGCGAAGAAAACCCAATCCCGATGGCAAGCACCGGGGGGGGGGCGGCTTGTTTTACAACGTCGTTGCCAAGCGACGAAAACCCAATCCCGATGGCAAACACCGAGGGGGGGGCTTTTTTGACAACGTCATTGTCAAGCGAAGAAAACCCAATCCCGATGGCAAGCACCGGGGGGGGGGCGGCTTGTTTTACAACGTCGTTGCCAAGCGACGAAAACCCAACCCCGATGGCAAACACTTGGGGGGGGAGAGGGGTGTTATCTAACGTATTGGTGACCTAGCCGTGTGACGACGAACCATGCGTCGCTTGCGCGACGGAGCACCGTCGTAGGCGCGCTCGACGTAACACACGATTTCCTTCGCCTCGCAAGCCCTCCTGCCGCCGTTGTACGTACGCGACGAGTCTCCATGTTTTGTTCGTCACATCGTTCCCTCAAATAGGAAGTTTGAGGTTCGAGCATCCATTCCTGAGTCCATTGCCGCACCGTCTACGTTATCACGCTGCTTGTCGGTGCGGCATCATGAGGATGATTGGTAACAACCTCCGCGGGTGACTACCATTTGCTTTTTCTGGTGAGAGTCGCTCCCGCCTTTGCGGCCTACGACATGGCGGTGCCCATCATGCCCATCACTTCCCGTATAACAGCTTCGTGTGTGCTTCTGCCCATCACATCCCGCACTGTCCTTCGCACAACAGATGCGCAGCGGCGAGCTGTCGAGTGGTACTCGGACCAACCAACGCACAACGGTGTGCCAGCTGCTGCAAGGAGACGTGCTTGACACACAGGTTCCCGGACAGGTTCGTCTTGCCTCCAAACGTCCTTGGGCACATTTCCTGATACGTCTGTGCGACGTCTGTTGTTGAGAGCCAAGTAATCATGGCATGATGGAAAACCGAGTCACTGATCCCGTCTCACATGAAAGGGATAGGGACCACCTCCTGTCGAGGTAGCGTTCGGGTTCTTAATACCCTACCGCTGCAACATGCCCAAATGCAGAGATTCTGGTGACCGGTGTCACAAGCCGTATTGCGCGATTGTCGTGCTCAAACATCATCCTCTGACATCCACAATAGCACAATTATCACAACCCTACTCACGTCAATAGAACGAGTGTCTCGACCTCGAAACCAGGACGGCGACGGGCAGTTCGCGTTATGTAACCGTTCTCCTTTGCTGTCACCGTCCATCTACATCCCAGTCATAACTGCAGCGCTTCCAGCCGTGGCGATGCGAGGGGTCCCGCAGCGGCCGCTGCTGCTAGGCGAATGGCATCCCAGGCGAACCAATCGCGTCCGATGTCGCTGAGGGAAAAGGGAGCACAGAAGAGGGCCGCCGCATCGTCCCGCCGCGACGCTGACGCGAACACGGCTCGGGTGAGACCGACTTTGTTGTGTTGATGGGTGGGTCCTCTGGGTCGCTGGTTGCTGTGTTGTCTTTTGTTTGGGTTTTGGTCGGGGTATTCGGCAACTCACAACTCCTTGGCAATGGGGCACGCACGACACCGCAAACAGCAGTGCGGGTGTGTGTATGTGTCACCCGGAGCACGGTTGCCACCACAGGGAGAGACCCAAGTAACCATCTTCGGTGCTCCAGGCTCGCATGACGTGGTTCGGGTGACGTGGGTTTGCGAGTTTTACAGCTTTCGCGGGGGCTGCCGTCGACTTTCTGTTCGTCAATCTGTCTTTCACCGCTGGGGTCCGAACGGGATCGTGCTGACCTAGTACGGTGCGGTCTTGTCATGCTGCAGTACACCAAGGTGAGTTGTGAGTTAATTCGTCACAGTCAGCGAGAAACGGCACCCGGCAAATGGACAAGAGTGTAGTCGAGCACCCTCTGAAGTGTAACTGAAATGCTCGGAAAGTGGTGTCCACAGAAGTTCCCGTAACCCCGTTGCAAACCACCCGTGATCCTTCAGCGAAACGCTAAACCCTTGTGCGGGTGCTTGGCTGTGGCGCGGGAAAACGTAAGTCCACCTGAGCCTATGCCCCCCGCGCCAATCCTCCCCTAGCACGCTCTTGGGCGTGGTGGCAGTTTTCCAATCATTTCCAAGGCCTGTGTAGAGTACTCCTTGGACTTGCTTGACGTTCTACGATAGTGAAATACGCTCTCACGCAAGCTTCTTGTATCAGTAGCCTTCGTCCTCCTAGGCTTTATTTTGCGTTGAGGGTGTGCAATGGCATCTGTTTCCGAAGTGGTAGCATGTTCTGGTCTGGAGTTACCCGACCAACACCGTTCGTGAGAGTCGTTTCCGGCAGCTTGCACGGAAAACATGCTAAAGAGCTGCAGGCATTAGGTAGCAAAGACGCAATTGATAGTTCTTTTGCAAGTCACACCTCCAGTCTGGGTGTGTGTATATATTCTGAGGGTCTGAGGGTATTATACTCACGACACGTCTTGTTCGATTGTGGAAACGTTGTGCTTCCCTACGTTCTTCCGAGTTCTAGGAAAGTTGGCACTTGGTGGCAGGAGTGTCTCCGTTGGCAGCATGTTGGAGAGATCGGACAAATTCCAATGTCCTGCAGATGTGTCTGCACCATCTAACATGAGCTCTGATTGGCCCGATGCACTGCGTGTCGCTGCAGGCTACCGCCGATCGACGGAGAAGGGAGAACCCGGCGGCTCAAGCACGAAGCTTCGGGGGTAGTGGCGGGCAAAGCGAGCAATGCCCGCAATGTGGCGCTAAATTTGGCGATATCGGATCGCTTGTAGCTCACGCAGAGGCCTTCCACTCCGAGGTGAGAGGGCAGTGTGGTTAAAGCGCCTTCTCGATGTTAGCAGACGATTAGCGCAAGCTTGGAGGCTTCGAGATGACGTACATACTTTCCGTGTTTGTTGAGGGCCGTTCCACCTGCACCATGTCCTGCAATACTTTGCATAGCTCGTCTGTCTTGATCCAAGGACCACGCTGTAGCGGTCTCCTTCCGCCGATAATCCCACGTGCTGCTTGGCGATCATGTATTTTTTGTCGCTTGCAGGGTTATGTGCTCTACCGGACCACCACCGAACCGCAAGGGCAAGGAATTTCGTGGTTCCCCTGGCTGGCTGGTGTATTGCTAAGTTTTTGTTCTTCAAGAAGTGGTGATTCGGTCCCGCAGAGTTGTTCAACTCCACCCGCACCTCCTTCGCGGTCGCCTTCGTTTGTTTTTTAATTCCTAGGGGCAGCAGTTTCGAGCACACGGCGGTGGCGGCAGCGGAGGTAGCAGTAGCACAGGAGAGACTTGCCCAATCTGCAATCTCCATTTTTCTGACGTGGCGCTGCTGGTTTCACACGTGGAGGCGGTACACCCGGACGGTGCTCGGGGGGGTTCGACTTTGCAGGGCGCAACGTCCAGCGGGGCAAGCTCTTGCTCAATATGTTGACTGTCTCGCGCGCTGGTGGCTCTTGTGTTGTGGAGAGAGCCAGAGAAAATTCTGCACGAGACGCTTTTTCGAGACGTGTACGTTTTGCAGCACACGTGCAGATTCTGTTTCGTAGAAAAGAGTCTTGGCGACCAGAGTGTGGTGATCCTGTGCGCGCTTGTACGCGATTATTGCCGCGCACCGGCTAGTTCTTCGCATGGTGAGAAACGTTGCGGAGACCGAATCGTTCCGGGAGGGTAGGCTTTCATTCCCGATAGTTGAACGGACGGGGCGTTGCAGGCTGCCGTTGAAGGGTTCAACGGGAAAGCTGCTGTTCGTGTGTTCTCATTCTCACAAGTCGAAGGTACTAGCGGGAGTTTTGAAGGTTGTGTACCTCACGATGTGTTATACGATAAAACGCTGAGCTACATTTCGATTTTCGAGTGCCGGAGGCCGGAATCGCTTTTTCGTGGGTTTCATGAGGGCATGATATGATGTGTGTCGGGGAAAGGCAGGCAGTGTTGTACGCGTGCGTTGCGCTCGCCCACCTCAGCGACACTTTCCAAGGCCTCGCGATCGGAATGCTTGCAAATAGTATGTGGAACACAGGTATTCATGCAAACGACTGATCGCCGACACAAAGTCAAAACGTTCCAATGGGTATCACGGCTCACGAACAGAATCGGGCCGACAGACTCCTCAGCCTGTTCTTGTTCAAGCTCCACCCAGACTTATATCTATACAAGCGTCTAAACGGTTGAGAAGAAGATGAATCGAGGCCAAAATATTTACCTGTGTATTTACTTACGGAAAACAACTCGCATGTGCTGCACTCTCTTAAGAATCTCCTCGCGAAGTTTCCGCTCCCTCACCCACCCCTAACAGCATGAGGGAAGCCGTTGTTGCAGGCGAGTACTAGCATTTACAGTCAACGAAGTGTCATTGTCTGTCAGACTGTATGAAGAGGCCGCAGGGTGCACCTTGGTGGATTTGTTAAAGGCATATGACTGAGCCAGGATGCGCCCCCACGATAAGTATTTGAAAGAGGAGTGGCCAAAATCGGGTACACCCGGCCCCAATCCGGCCATTATCGGGGACACTTGTTTTACACAGTCGGCAGCGCCCTCCTGGAGCCATCTGATTGGCCGACGCCTGCCCCTACCCGGCCTTGACCCTATTCCCACCGGGTTCACCCGATCTTGGCTACTCACCCCCCGGAGGGGTACCCGATCTCAATCTCGTCTACCCGAAAATGACTGGGCTTTTCGACCAACAAGCTCACGAACACACGTCACCAACACCCCGCACTCGAGTTCCGACGCTTGCGACGGCGGGCGGAGGCGAACCTAACGCGGCTAACGCGGCGGAACTCTCGTTTGAAGTGGATCAGCGGATCTCTCTCCTGCAACACGGCGGAACTTTCGTTTGAAGTAGATCTCGCTCCTGCAAGTAGATCTCGCTCCTCAACCCACCAAGTCTCTCGTGGTTGATCTCGGCCCTCGTGCCTGAACGATAGAAGACTGGCATCGGCAGAATATGAGCGATGAAGTAGACACAGGTGGCCAGTGGGCACGGTTGTACAGGGGCGTTGTGTAACCTCCGGCCAACCAGGGGTTATTACATGGGATAACGTGGGGGGGTTACTGGCCGAGCGAGCATAACGTACCAGGTTATGAAAGCGGTCTTGCGCGGATTGGTGTGAATGAAGGAGGAGAAAAGAAAAAACTATGTGCGAGCCTTCCCCTCCATTGCTACATTGTATTCACCTCGTATTTGGGTTAAAGTAGCGCAATTCCTCACTTGGCATTTCTCTGCGCCGGATTGATCGGTGAAGAAAACATAACATGGAGTGGATCGAACCAGCAACTTGGGCATGATCAATATAATAGTAGTTGACCGCCACGCTACATGTTGAAGCATATGACTGTTGCTCCAAATTGTATGCTTTTATTAAAGTAGGGGCGGAAACAATGGTGGCAACACCACCCACGCGGCCGATAAGAGCACACTACTTGTACTATGCGGTCCCCCCCACGCTAAAAGCAGAAACTCCGAGTAAAGTCCTCCATTACGAATCGTTCAATGGCAAGTTTTTTTTCAGCTAAGTTTTTATGTTCCACAGCAGCAACAACATTTAGTATACGAACAATATAATTTTTTTAACAATGCTGAGCACGCAATTGTTTTCAGCAGAGATCATATTATTATATTATGTCATAATACTTCATTCGACCACTATTATNAAACTCCGAGTAAAGTCCTCCATTACGAATCGTTCAATGGCAAGTTTTTTTTCAGCTAAGTTTTTATGTTCCACAGCAGCAACAACATTTAGTATACGAACAATATAATTTTTTTAACAATGCTGAGCACGCAATTGTTTTCAGCAGAGATCATATTATTATATTATGTCATAATACTTCATTCGACCACTATTATTTATTTTTTTATTTTTCTTAATATGACACAACGAGTCCATCTCTATCATAGAAAAGAGTCAGAGACAGATCAACAATGAAATCATAGCGTCAGAGAAAACTACCTGTGTGTCTACGGTTTCCCAGACAGNGGTGACAGGCTCAAAAGATCAGTATGGTAGCTGTCTTGTGTGTCTCATAGACTATGTGTTATGTTGTGGAATTCATGTCGTTAAATGTGAGAAGGGCACGGGAGAACATTTCTCATCATTGCCTCCTGATGACGTGGTCGCCGATAGAGGCGTCTGGTTGATGAGGTTTCATCACCGACATGTGGGTGTGTGTTAAATGCAGTGGGTGTGTTCACCTCTCTCGTCCGTGTGTAGGCAGGAGGTATGGC